AGAGAGAGAGAGAGAGAGAGAGAGAGAGAGAGAGAGAGAGAGAGAGAGAGAGAGAGAGAGAGTGTTTACCTCTATAGATGTAGAATAACGTTGATTCTTTGAGTATTCAATTATGGCCGCTTGTCCAGATGCACCTGTCCAGATTTAAAAATGTTAAATCTACTTTGGGAAAATTTGAAAAGGTTTAGGGCATGAAAAGATTCAGTATTGGGTATTGGCAAATTTTATTATTCTTTCAAGACTGAGCAGAAACCCGACCTTCTCCCAAGCCTCCTCTCATATGATATGTAAATGAGTCTGCTTACATATTAAGTTAAAAACCTTCTGAGCATCAGCAAACAGTATAGCTCATGAATTCAGACCCAATATTTACAAGTCGGTCTGTCCACCATGAATAATGATGTGACCAGTTTGGGTTTTGAAGTTGGCAAAAACATTGGCGAATCCCTAGGAAAAAGAAACTATCTGACCTATCTGTCAACGAATTATGAAACTGATGGGTGCATAACCAACACTGTGCTAGCCAGGTTCATCCTTGCAGCGACAGGATAACTATTGGACTGCATGAGTAATAACCCGAGTCAACTTCAACACACGTATTTAATTGAATCTGACATGTGCTATCTGCAGATGAATGCCTACACATAGGTGAAAAGACTGTTTAAACCGTGGTCGAAACACAAGTTGGCTAGAGGTCTTGAATTGTGCGGTATCAAACACACTCCATCCCTGGGAAAAAATTTAAGGTATCGCCGAAGCCGTCTTCTGCGACTGCCGAGGTGAGCCTCACATCAAAACTGGTCTGAACGAGGTCAAAGAGAAACCATATGAAATTTGCATAGACCAGGTGTATGAAGACTTTGTGTACTATTGGACCTTTCACTCCTCTCCGGAAGCCCCTGACCAGCCACATACAACTTCAAAACATGCCACATCTATTCTGACTGCGAGAAAGGCCTGAATACTGACTTCACCTCTGCGCTCCAAAAAAATTGTTGAACCAAAGTATTTTTGCTAATCATCTTCCTGTTGATATTGATGCTTTTCATCGACTAGAAATGTTTACGAACAAGGTGCGAGATTTTACTAGAAATTGGGATTCTTTGTTCAATGTAAATACCGTGTATCCTTTGCACACTTATGCGCAAAAATTTTTTGCTTTCTTGTTTGCTTAAACTAGAATGCAAAACTAATCATATATTATGCATCTTAACCTAGGTAACCGATATGTGTGTTTTACAATTGCTTAGAAAGGAAATGTTGATGTCAGTAAAATCTTTGACAAAGCTGTCACCAACACTTTGATACTCAGTGTTGTTTTTCCTCTTTCGGTTGCTCCTCTTAAGAGTTGCCACAACAGATCATTGGTCCACTTATTTGATTTGGCAGAGATTTTAGCCTGATGCCGGACGAAACCCTCCACAATTTTATCCCGGCTTGGGACTGGTAATGAGAGAGCACTGTTGCACACAACCCAGTTGCTGAGGTTGGTTCCCTGGTGGGGAATCAAACCCGGGCCACATTGGTGAGAGCACTGTGGCCTAACCACTAGTCCTATAGAGACCCTTATCAATTCTCAATAATGCCTGTATATACAGGCATTATTGAGAATCGACAAGGGTCTCTGTAGGACTAACATACATTGTGTAAAAGCCTGCATGAATTTCAGCAGGATTAGGTGCTTCTGGTTCCTGGTACATTAAAAGACCAACGGGATTCATACTGAGCTTATATACTAAGTTTCAATTAGCTTAGAATGTATAGGTTTTTTGGGACACGATGCATGTTTTATTTTTCATAGGTTTATAGTTGACCTCCATTTCGATATCCATTTTTTTCATTGTTTTGGTGATTTCACTAAACAGTTCTCAGATACTTTTGTAACACGTATGAGCTATTTACATCCCTCAGAGAAACATGACATAGACAGTCATGCTCTGACTGTCTATAAGTACCAATTCTGGATATATTGAACCTCTGATAGTGACACCCCCCAAATTTAGTAGTATAGTGTGCAATCTTATTAATAGGCTAAGTGTCCATCAATGCATTGCTTGGAAGGGTCACAAAGATCCCATACTCTTCCATGGTTTAATGATTATAGGATTCAGTTCTGTTCAAAACGATGCTTTTTAAGCTCTAATGTTATGTTAACTACGTATTCAGCCGGAATCCAGGAATTAAACTTATTGGGCCACCCCACCCATTTCACCAGACAAACTTTTTTCCAGTTTCGGGACTTTTCATATAAGATTTTCTCTAATTTGAATGCCTTGTCCTTATCAAATAATAATCTTTTGTAACTCAGGTTCAGAAACTGTTTCCTCAATGTTTTCAACATCATAGTCTTGTAATTTATATTCAAGGGGATCTCTCGGTATCTGTTTAGAAATTGTAAAATCCATAAAGTTTTGCTCATAGCCTTTTTCAAACTGTCTTTTTAAATGGGAAATTTGAACAATATCACTAACTTTTAACTTGAATTTTTGTTTCTTTATTTTTGATGAAAATAGTCCACAGAGGGTTTTAAATACTCTGAAGGAATTGGATTCGTTGACCTTGAGAGGCTTCATTTTGATATTGGAATGGTAATTGTGATTGTATGCTTGAACCAAAACCTGTACAAAGTCACTGTATTTCTCATGCTGAAAGCTGTAAAAGATCTCCACATCCTGGTCCTGGTCTCCACATCCTGATCCTGAACCTTTCACACAGCTGGCTTTTGCACCTTACCTGTAGCAAAGTGAACAGCGTTATGCTTTATCATTAAAGTCTGAAAATCTTTGTCCAAAATCTCCTTCCTTTGGCCTGTTTGTATGTTTTTTTTGGACCCTACCTTCCTTTAAAAAGGAATCAAAAGCTTTAGATACCTCAATTCTGGTCTTGTTTTCTAACACACATATTTGGATAAATTATCTATACACATTACCATAAATTTTGTGTTGTCATTACACTCTGACAGGTTGCTCATGGCAACTAAATCAGCTTGCCATTGTACATCAAAGTTCTTTATAAAAAAAACTTGTTTCTTTTAAACTTTACAGATACTGATTTATGTAGACTGTACACATCCAGCTCTGCTAACCAGTTTTTTAAATTTCAGAGTTATTAACTCTTTTACATATTTTCTCAACAATAGCTCTTCACAAACTCCCAACGCTACCATGTGACCCTGAGTCTGATAATACATATTCTTCATCAATTCTTCATTATATAATATATATTCTTCATCCATCGTTGATTCATTTTGAAGTATCACAACAATAATGATCAAACGCAGGTTTAATCTCAGAAAACTTATGTAAGGTATATATTTTTTATACATTAAATATTCAATCAAATATAAAATGAAAGATTTTACTGACATCAATATTTTCTATTCTAAGTAATTGTAAAACACACATATGCATAAGGACTTGAATAGTTTTGTACTTAAAATGTTCAGCAAACATGAAAGATAAAAGATAAAACAGTTTTTACATTGAATAAAGAATCCCAAAATCTCTCATATTGTTCTTTAACATTTATAGTTGGTAAACAATTTCTATATGAGCTGTAAGATGATTAATAAAAATACTTTTGTCAATGACTCTCAGTTCAACAATCTTTTTGAAGATCAGAGGTGAACTCAGTCTTCAGGCCTTTCACGCAGTCAGAATAGATGTGATATTTTTTGAAGTTTTCCATGTATGTGTCTGGTCAGGTGGTTCCGGAGAGGAGTGAAAGGTCCACTAGTCTTCATACACCTGATCTATGCAATTTTCTGAGTTTAGATTCATGCAAGTGTCATCTAAGTGAGTCCAGTTACTGCACAGTTACCCTGGAATTTACTCAAATCATGCTTCCCATATGACTTGTTGAAGCATTCATACTCCAAAGTGTAATCTATGTTAGACCGCTGTGGTGTCTCTCTACGTTTTTCCTTTATTCTGACATCCAGTTGTGGGCACCACCCTTTCCATGCCTCTGTGTTATGCATTAAAGTGGGTTGCCTAAATACGTTAAACACTCAGCTGGGCAGTACGAGTAGTCTGTTCTATTATTATGCACAATACTGCCTGTTGTATTCTGCACAATGTCTGTAATCAGATGGGGTCTGTACCACTATAACTCTGCTCAGTGGAGAAGGTGAACATCCAAACAATTACCCTTATTCAAATTACCAGCAGCGTATTCAGCCCACTTATACCACTTATTATCTTGTGCTACCTGTAACAATGCATCATATGTTATCTCATTTGCAGTGTCATTCAACATTTCATGTGCAACTCCTTGATATGCAGGGTTAATTATTCTCTCACTGCCTTTACTCCTCTGAGAGCCAGTCAAGGCTTCTTCATTGTGCTCACTGGAGGAAGTGGAATCCTCTTCTTCCTTCCCTTGCTCTGGAATCCAATCTGGCTTAGGGGGCTAGTCCAGAGTACAGTCTACACTAGTGCCAGCAGACTCACTTGCCAGTCCATCATCATCAAGCATAGGTTTGTTCATCAGAGCCATCTGTTTAACAGTTGCTCGAACAAGAAAAGATCTTAATATGGGCACAACACAGCAAAACAGTAGTCCTGCAACAATTACTACAATTGCTATCGTAACTCCCACTTTTGTCAATATAGCACCCTAATGTCCAAACCGTGAAAGCCATTCCCAAGAATACTAATCTCTCCCTGCATTTCCAGCTACTGCCTTAACTTTTTCAACTTATTCATAGCTTCAGTAAATGCTCCCTCAGGGGCAGTGTTGTTAGGGATAAAAGTACAAAATTGTTCTCCAAACATAACACACACTCCTCCTTTTTCTGCCAACAACCAGTCCAATGCTTGCCTGTTCTGCCATATCATTTTACTAGTAGCATCTAACTGTTCACCTAATGCTGAGAGTGCCGCATCTGTATAATTAATGAACCACTGTTGGTTGTAGTAAATGTAATTAATCCACTCTGTATTCTTGTTAGGAGTTATCCATACCAAAATAGACTGAAATTCTGACATTATCTCATTTCTTGCTTTAAATTGTTCAGGTATTCCTCTAGGCTGGTCTGTTGAGTCTATATACACCTTAGGATCTATCTCATAAGCTCTCTTTACTCTGAAACTTTCAATTTTTTTCAAGGAACTGATCATACCCCCAGTCAACTATCACAGTTCTTCGAATCAACTTAGTTATCTTAGTGAGTCAAGGCAAGTACTACTGTCATTCTGGTGGTTACTCTTGCTAGTGCATGACCTTCTGACCACTGGATCTATTCTGTGTGTCCAAAGAGGCGGGAATCCAAGTGCCATATTACTGCACACTTACCACATTTACCCAAATCATGCTTCCCATATGACTTGTTAAAGCATTCATACTCCAAAGTGTAATCTATGTTAGACCGCTGTGGTGTCTCTCTACGTTTTTCCTTTATTCTGACATCCAGTTGTGGGCACCACCCTTTCCATGCCTCTGTGTCATGCATTAAATTATAAAGCGAGTTGCCTAGATACGTTAAACACTCAGCTGGGCAGTACGAGTAGTTTGTTCTATTATCCCAATTCTTCACACAATACTGCCTGTTGTATTCTGCACAATGTCTGTAATCAAATGGTGTCGGTACCACTACAACTCTGCTTAATGGAGAAGGTGAACATACCATTACCCTTATTCAAACTACTAGCAGTGTATTCAGCCCACTTATACCACTTATTATCTTGTGTAACAATGCATCATACATTATCTCTTTTGCAGTGTCATTCAACATTTCATGTGCAACTCCTTGATCTGCAGGGTTAATTATTCTCTCACTGCCTTTACTCATCTGAGAGCCAGTCAAGGCCTGAGGGCCAGTTAAGGGCTGAGAAGTCAATTGTTGAGAATGTTGCTTGCTGACTAGTGGACGGGCCTGAGTCTGCGGTAAGTGTAGCAAGAAACTCATCAAGATCACCAGACTCAACTGCACTTTCCTGTTCAGCTGGAGCTGACAATGGCTCCTCTTCTTCCCCTTCAGCAGGCACAGCAGGCTCATCAGTTTCAGATGGAACATCAGATGCAACAGCTGGCTCATCTTCTCCTTCAGGTTCTGCCTGGGCTGGACCTGGTTCGCTGTCCCCTGCATGACTAGGGCCTGCTTCTGGTTCTCTCTCTCTCCTCCATATTCTATTTCTCCCTGACTACTTTCTGGTGAGGCTGCCACTAAATCTCCCTCTTCTTCAACGGTTTGAATATCTTCTTGTCTCCTTTGTCTAAGCCTAGGTACCCTTGTACAGTGATTCAAATGATACCAGGTAGTATTACCTTCAACCTGCACCACTGTAGGCATCGCTCTTACCACTGTGTATGGTCCTTCTCTTCTAGGTTCGTTCCACTTTTGTCTGAACACTCTTAGGTATACCTTATCTCCAGGAACAACTGAACACGGCACTTCAGCATCTTTTCTTGGCTCCCTGTTTTCAATGTTCTCTGAACAAATGCTGAACCATTGTCAGAACTTATCTGAGAAGGTATGCCAATCCTAGGAATCACTTCTCTTGTCAGAAACTTAATCACTGTTCCTGCAGCCTGATCTTTTGATGGCACAGCTTCTACCCACC